TGTAGTTGAAGTATAAGCAACATTAGAATATATAAGAGGAAACACTTTTGTTTGAAATAAAGGGCCCCCGTGGATTTACTGCTCCAGTCTGTTTTCTCTGGGTACACCCGTCTCTTCTATTGACATGTTTGGTTTCATATGTCCTATTTTAATTGCATTCCGGTTAGTACGTTTACATTAGCTTACTTGCGTATATCGCACAGCAAGCGCACGGCCACTGTTCATCGAAGCAGCCGATTCGAATTTGCGGGGGCATCGCTCGGCTCGTACAAGCGGGGCGCGGCGCCGAGACCCCTGAAGTCGGGGATCCCGACTGAGGATCTTACGAACGCGCTCACCCTCACCTCCCATGGCTATGACAATGAAGGGCCTCCTTTTGGATTTTCTGCAGCGGAGCCCTCAACAACGTGGACATTCGATCTTAATCCGCCTTCGTCAACTTTCTTTTTATAATTTCAAGAGCTTCCCCGAGAACGAATAAAACAAAACCTAGCTTCTTTCATTATCGAAGCCATTGCACTCTGAGCCTTAAACTTGCAAGAAGACGTTTACATATCAGGAAATTTTCGATGTACGATTTCTTTATCGGGGAACGACTCGATGAACTCTCAATGACAAATAGAGAATAAAGCAATGAACATCGAGGCTAATGTTTGTATTCTAACTTGATCGTTCTGTAATGTGTCCATGAAGGCATAATGTCTTCGTAAAGTAGATAAGCAGGCATTCAAGCCTATCGATTTTTACATCCTCGCGCTTAAAAAGGGACGTCTTAAGAAAAATTATGTAATGCTGTGCGAAAAACCGGCGAATTTTCAGCAGAAAAGCTCTTATTACCGGGCTCTCATAACGAAAAATTGGATCAATGTAGTCGCTAAATTAAAAAAAAAACAAAAAAAACCTCTAACATGTGGTGTAGCTAGAATCCATGTTTTGATACCGAAAAGTCGATTGACGGCAAAACGCCCATCTGTCCGTCAGTGAACAACGATATCGGCTGAACTGTTCAGTCGATTTCTTCAAGGTTGATTTTCCGTGATCGATCTGGTTGTTGGATAGTCTGAATGACGTTTAAGAGAATAGCGTAGGTCTCAAGTTAGTTGAAAACTGATTTTTCGAAAATTAAAAAAAAAAAAAAAAGTTTTTTTTTCAGCATCTTCCTACAATTATGAAGATACATTTTTTTTTCTTAAGAAATGTGTTCATTGAAAACATATTTTCAAATACGGACATGTTGAATTTTTGGAATATATGAGTATTTTTGCAGAAATTGGGCGTCGAAGTTAGTTGGCCGCTCTGAAAATCAGGCACTTCTTGATCATAATTTTAGAGGTGTTGTGGGGCAGTTGGATGCTACGTAAGTTAGAATGTGTATGTTATTTTATATTTCTTTGTTCGTTTCTTACACTAGAACTTTTGTTGTAGTTAAAAATTAATCTCTTAGAAATTATATTAAACCTATTTGAAATAAATGTGAAGTAAAGTTTGCTAGCCTCGAGTAGATCGCTCTCAATTTACGCAGTTGGATGCTACGTACCTATGAATGCATTTCGACGTTTGATGTGCATTTGACGACCTGTATCCGTGATCGTACAACCGTTATTTCTGACATATTTTTTTATAGTCCGATACTGTAAATAAAAAACAACAACAAAAAACAAACACCTTTATTCATATCAGAGCACGTACAATAACGAGACTTAGGAAATGCTCGGGAATACACGGGGTGATTTCTTATTGAGCAGAGGTTGAGCTTGGCGAAATAACAATTGACATATTAAGACTTAACAAATTATTTACCACGGTTTTTCAAACATTTACGGATGATTGATTTCGTGATCTATCTTCAAAGCACGAAACAAGTTACTTGAAATGACACGAGAGTAATAGTTCTGTGTGACATTTTTTATCATAATTCGACTAATGTTGAAAGTTGAAATTTATATCCATTTGTATGGAGGAATCAAAACTCACTCAAAACGCGAAATGGTAATGGAAGACGTTAAATAAAGACAGTGATATCTAATCTGACATCAATAATTTATCTACGACGCTCACATAAACTTTTTATAATTTGATATTACAACGATAAGACGTCATTGAATGTAATGACTCGATTGTTTTAAATGCTTTTTATTAAGAATTATTCAAATCACTTGCGCTATAACCGATTCAAATCACCTGTTCTAAATACAGCTTATCAAGTACTCTCGTGAATGCTCTGATCAAAACATCGTGAATATACGAAGTAGTTAGTGCCGCCCGTGAATATAGAAACTGGTTCGATTTGAATTAAGCACTCAGCGTTCACGTAGCGATAAGTTAGGTTTTTGTAATAAAAGTCAGTCTATACGAATTTGACAGGAAGTATGTCATATCTATTTCCTTTACCTAAAGTAAATGGGGAGAGAAAATGTTTGACGATTGAAATTAGACGATTTGTACATTATCTATAGTTTTATTATCTGACACAAAGGTCAAAGGAGTTATCATAACCCAATGCTTTTAATCAAGAGCCATTAAACTACTGGTGCAATGAGGTTCGCCTGCGCTTGAATCAAGAAACGTTGGATTGTGCAACTGCGCAATTGGGCCAGAGTCTATAATATAAACGTTATCAGCAGGGTCGGAGCGACTGGAAGATTCTGAGGACGCGCGAGAACTCATCCGTAGAAAGTGGAACGCCCAACTGTCAAAGTCAAACAGTCTGCGAGTCGCAGTGCGGAATGGGGTTGGGAAATAAATGTTGAGTCAGTCTCAAATGGAAAATACTTTAGAAATGCAATGATTGAACACTAAAGAATTTTCTGGGTACTTGCATGCTTTTTCTGTCTGTGTCTCTGTGCGTGTCTCACTCTCTCGCTCTCTCTCTCTCAATTAATATCTTTAATTGGTCATATAAAGAACTTAATTAAAGAAGATTTCATCCATTTACATTCATTCAATATTAATAACTCCCACTTTTCTATAACGTATTGACACTTCAAGCTACACTAGTCTGTTTCAGTCACTTACAGGTTTGTAGCATGATATTTCTTAAAGAGCTAGTTTCTTTAGAACAGGTTACGGTTAAAACAAATTCTCTAGCTTCAATTTTGTAGTTTTGGGATGTTAACTTCTTGCATTTTTCGAAAGTAGTGCTCGCACGAAATGAGACTAGCACCATCTCACCATCCTTTGTCGAAGAGAAAATTTAAAGAAAAAATTAAGCGGTTTTTGAAAAATCCTTTCTTAAATAACTGCTTTTCAGAATATATTACGTTGAAGTCGAAAGTCTATCTTCTATTTTGTAGTTTTGAAGTGTTAAATTTTTGCAATTTTCGAAAATTGGAGAGTTGGCCGGAAATGTAACCGTGTCGGTAAAACCACCTTTTTTACCATCTTTTGATAGATACAAGAACATTTTTTTAAAGAAAAAGATTTTAAAGAATTAAAAATTGCCTATGTTTCACGCAAAATTACGCGGAAACTACTCATACTTTCGAAAAATTGTGAATGGCCTGATTTCAAGATTAGCTTTTAAAGAGCACTTTTCTTTCAGAAAAAGAATCTCTCTTCAATGTCGTGGTTGTAGGGAAAACGAAGAAAAAATTAAACTTTTGCAATTTTCGAAAAATCAGGGACAACCAAAGACAAGTCTTGCATCTTTAGGCGTCTTTGTATCCTATCTGAGGGCGAAGTTTAATAAAAATATTGGCAGCAATTTTTAGGAGTAAAAGAAAGAAAGAAAGAGAAAAACAGAAACGAAAAATGTTACCGAGACATCATCTAAAGTATCCCGCAAAATCAAAATGTCTGTTTCAAACTCAGGGGAAATAGAGTTCCTTTAAATTAATCGTGGGATATCAATTTTGGGGAAAATCGGCTGAACGGTTTTGGCGCCAACTTTGATCAGGGACGGACCGAGACGTTTCGCCGTCAATCCATTTTTCGGTAGCAAGGGCCAACAAAACTTGGATTCTGACTACACGTTAGAGGAAGCAGTTTACTATACACGGGAACAGGGTTTATCCACTTATTCATTACCAGGGCCCAGTAATAAAGAGTTTTTCTGTCGAAAATTCGTCGTTTTCTGGCGCACGATTACAATACTTAAGGGCGAAAAAGTAAAATATGACAGAAACGATGAATTAGTATGCGTGTTACATCATAATGATGGATCAAGTTTCATCGAAATGTATCCCTAATTCATAAGAATATAAACTTATTTCGAAATACCACTTATTTCGAAAATAGTTACAAAAAGTTTCTATCATGCAAGGTTCAAAAAATATTAACATATTTAATATTTGAAATAAACAAAATCCTATACTAATTTCTGTATTTTACACTCCGCTTACATTACTACAAAATTTTAAGAGCATGCATCATATGAGGTCCCCCCAACACGTTAAAAATGGAATATACATATTCCTGCAATAATATGCAGACATTGAAATGGTTTGCTGGTATTCTCTTCAACATTGGTAGATGAAATGACAATGACTTGAGTTTTCTGTACAACCACAACCTAAGGTTCATTGTAGAGGTGACACAAAACTAGTGAGCAGTCCATGGTTTGTCTTGATCACGAACACAAAAGCTAAAGTATAAAGAATATGCTAGAATAATTTGGTAACTAATGATTTCTCAGAAAATAAAATATTATGCATTCAAATTAGACAATCACTTCATCATTTTGGTTACAAAAAAACTTTAGTTTAATTTATACGAAGTTAACAAACATTGCAAAATTGCAGTTTTGCAATATATTTAAAAATACATGCAAGCCTTTGTTCTACCCTATGATTGGAGATGAAAACATTACTACCTAATATTTAAAATTACAGCAAATAGTCCTCCAAACATTACTATTTTGGTAGAAGCTTATCTCTCATTTGCAAGTAAAGTGTTGCCAAATGTTATAAGTCAGATTATTTACAGTTGTGAAAGTATTTCAATTATGAAAATCGAAATACAGTATTGTTAATTTCCAAGAAAAAATTCAAAGCTTAACTTACCATTTGTTTCATTCCTTTTGCAATATATGTCTTAGCAGACTGAATAGCATTTAGTCTTTCAGCTTCCAGTTCTTCCAGATTTTGACAAAGTTTCCTTTCTGTTTGTTGCAAGGCAAAAATTCCAATATCTCTTTCACTAATATCAGTTACTTTCTCTTCATCACCACAAAATTTTAAAAGTTCATCTTCCTTGTGACTAATCTGAACCATCTTATTGTGACATAGTAACCAATGAAGAACAACATCTAAATCTTTGAAGCCTGAGGCAATTTTCTTCACTTCTGTTTTTGTTAATACTAATCCTTTGTTGGTTTCTTTTACTTGTGTCAAAAGTAATTCTGCCTGCAACTAAGTTGAAATACACTTCATTAGTATCACATACATTTTTCTCCAAGTCACATGAACACATGTCATTGAGTAATTTCCCCTTTAATGTTTGGAAGGGGTAATAAAAAGAAAATTCTAAAGGTTTTCAAATTCCAACCAACATTTTATATACCCTGAAACAAAATATTTAATTTTTATTTTATTTTGATTACTTTTACTGCACTAGAGGTACAACTTCAAGAATATTAATCAGAATTCAACAATAAGTGGCCAAGTTATTTCTTAGTTACCTTAGTTGCTTCAAGAACTACATATGTTTTTTCTTCTTCACTTTTAATTAAAAGTTCTCTTGCTTTCTTAAGTGACCAGCCCATTGGTTTCTTGATTAACATATCTACTGCCCATCCACTCCAAGTTTGAGCAGGCAGCAGCAGAAATTGATCTTTTTCACAAATTTGACGTCTCCTGTCACCAGTTGATAACAGAATACATTTAATAACTATTCAATAACTTTAAAAAAATATTTTAATATGCTATAATTTATTGCTGTTACAATTAAAATTAAATGAGAATAATATAATTAGTGACCTTTATCATACCTTAACATATCTTCTACCACACCTGTCAAACATGCTGGGATCAATTGGTTTTTGGTAAAGGTTTTTTCCAGTTCAGATAAAGTGAAAGTACATTTTTTATGATGATCACACCACTTACAGATCATAGGTTTCCAAAACTTTATTTTGGCCTCTCTATCGTTTGGATTTTGATCGTGTGATCGAAATGGTGAAAATAAGTAACTGACTTCATCGTCGTTCCACCAAGATTTGGGCAGTTCTAATTCGGGAAGAGGCAGAGGTTGTCCATCGCCTTTTTGTGGAGAGGTTTCCATACTAATACGATAAAACGACCTTTAATCACTCATACAACTGATATTATTATTTAATTAATTTTATAATTCTAATGACACACGTGAATGAACTCTTCCTCAGCTTTACGCCAACATGCTTCGACCGCAGTGCACACAAATCGCTACCACGGAACCTCCTTACCGTACAGGATTATAAGTAGTAGTCTGATCTGATAACAACAATGCGTATGGACGCACTTGTCGCACTGTTGTATGCTGACAAAATATGAAACAATATCATACACTGAGCGACACTACACAGATCATAAGTTAACTCGGTTAACTTGTTAACTTACGTAAACTTTGCTTGGCGCAGTCCTTATATTTCTGAATCATTGTTTGTCAGCTGTTCTTCGCAGAGCGCGCTCCTTTCGCTATACACGGGTCAAACATGTAGATGGCAGCACAAAGATAAATGCAATGGCAGGCAATTGCCTGCGGTAATGTTTGAGTTGTGTGACTGTGGGATTTAAAGTACCTTTTAAGTGTTATTTCATAAAATTTAAATGCTTCCAATAAAAGTTATGAAGTGCATACAGAGAAAGGGTAAATAAAATTCATTTTTAAAGCATGTTTGATTCATGCAAATACATAACTACATTTGGAAGCAAAGTTTACAAGTAACGTGGTTGTGTATAGAGTTAGGCTGAGTGACTTAGCATAATGCATGAAATGTGTTCGTGTAAATTAGTGATGTAACTAGAGGCTGTGATCCATGTCACTTACAGTCTTATGCAAACTATTTGATGTTGTCAAAGGTTAGCTTTTCTCTTAGGTCAAGGTTTTTATTACATAAAACGAGAATTATTAAATGATGAATGTTCATTATTTTTGATTTGATATTGTATAAGAAATATTTTATCAGTCTTGGCTTGGAAATGTGGGTGTATTCGCCTGAATTTTAGTTAATATAGGATTGTGTATGTCAAAAGCTAAAGATCAACCTTCCATTGTATATTCATACTTTTCACGAATAGGTATTTATATGTAGAGTAAATAAAAAGAGATGAGATAATATGCTTTTGAAAAGCATAAAAAAAAGATGAATAATTAATTATTATCTTTTTTCTACACTTTGAAATGTGTATTAGTTTTAGTGTGTTTTAATATATTATATCATGGTTGTTTCAGGCCACTGTGCAGTGTGCTGCGAGGTCTGCCTGAACAATGGCACCACGTAGTTACAATAAGAAGCAGAAGAGAGCCATGATGCAGAATAGCAGTAAAGAGGAGCCTGTAGTTTCACATCCTCGTGAGTTTTTCTTGTTTTTTTTTAGCATCCAATTTCAGTTTGTTGTTCATAGACGTAGTATCAAGCAGAGGCACATCAAGATTTATAAATAGCTTAGAAATTATTATTTTCAATAGCAATGTAAACTATTTATTTTGTCGTAAAATAGTTAGCAGTGGTTGGCTAAGTTTTGTTTTTTGTAATGAAAGGTAGAATCTTGTGGAGGTTTCAGTATAAGGTATATATATGAGACATATTGTTGACACACACACACATATGTATATCCTGAACATGCTTCTTGTAATTTTGTTTTTCTCTTTTGAGATTCTTTTGCAATTATTTATTTGTATGTTATGTTTTTCATTTTGGAAATCTGTACCACTGAAATAATGTCAGCCTCATTGATTTATCTTGCAAAAATATTATTTACAAGATAAAATATAGGATTAGAAAAATAGCCCCAAAAGAGCAAATTATTTTTTTTTATATATTTCTGTTCATTGCCTTAATGTGTTAACTAACATTTGTAGAATTTTTTAAACATTTTTGTGACAATTTTATTGCAAGTTTTGTAAGATATCAAAATTCATGTCCTAATAGTAGCAATTAAAATGCTGCTACGAAATTATTGAAACATTTGATTTCAGCCATGCCATGGTTTGGGATGGATATTGGTGGAACATTATGTAAGTTAGTATATTTTGAACCTAAGGATGTTACACCTGATGAAGCTTTGGAAGAAAAGGAAACATTGAAGAATATTCGCAAGTATCTCACAAAAAACTCAGCCTATGGAAAAACAGGCCACAGGGACACTCATTTACAGGTATCTTGATTGGTTAATTGTTTAAAGATAAAACGTGTTTTCCAGCTAGCGTTGTATTATTTGTCATTTACTGTGTATTCAGATGGATGATGTATACATTCGTGGGCGTCGTGGTACTCTTCATTTCATACGTTTTCCAACCAGTGAGATGGATAACTTCTTGACTTTGGCTAGAAATAAAGGCATGGCTACTCTTGTGTCCACTGTTTGTGCAACTGGAGGAGGTGCTTATAAATTTGAACAGAATTTCAAAAAGGTAAAAAAAAAATGTTAATTTTAAAATATTAATTAGTTCATTTAAAGTTAAATCTCTTAAGTTGAAGTAAATCTATGACTTATTTGTTTCAGGAAGTGAATATGAGACTTCATAAATATGATGAGCTTGATTCCTTAGTGAAGGGGATCCTCTATGTAGAAATGAACAATCCTCATGAATGTTATTATTGGGCAAACTTGTCTGATGATAAACTGTGTGAGAAAAGAGAATTTGATTTCAAGGATCCATATCCATTTTTGGTGAGAAACCATACTGTAGAAATAGTGCCAGATCTTCACTTATAATATTTCCATAATCAAAATTTCTGAAGCATAGAGTTTTCCTGGCTTTGTACATTTTCAATTAGGTATTACAAATATTGAGTTCAATAAATATTTTATTAATAAAAAGCGGTCTTGGAAGTGAACTAGAATATTGATATGTGAAGTATTCATCTTAGTCCTTTAATGGGAGGCATTTGTTAGGCAGAGTAGCATTCTAATGTAATAAAAAGAAAGGGCTATATTCGACAAAGCTGTAGCAGGTAGCCAGTTACGTGCACACCTACAACCACCCTCTTGGCTTGTCTCCCTCTCTTCATATAGAGGAAGAAAGAAAGAAAAAAAACCTTCTGTCTGGGTTCGGCTCCTTGTGAATAGAAGTGAAACGAATGTGCCAACTGAAGATGGCACTCTCTATTGAAGAGTTAATGACCTTAAGTGCAACAGAATGGGGAAGACTTTCTGATGCTAGTTAGTTACCTGTCTTTAGTCTGGGCTGTCTTTTTGGTTTTGTCCCCTTCCCAGATGTAACATATTGGTATATAAGACATTTTCTCGAGTTTTTGGTCTCTTAATAGCAGAAATGAAATATGTCTGTAAGGGCTTGTTTCACCAACAGCTGAGTAAAGTTGGGAGTAGTTACCCGAGAGTAACCAGTTACTCTCGAGTAGAACTATTTCAAAATCACATTGCATTGTCAAAGGATAGTAGCAGTCAAAGGTTCTAAAAATGTAGATATTTTTCTTTCCAACAAATAATAATACAGAACTTAAGACAATTGTAGATATAAGTGTAACTAGCTATAAAAGGAAAATTACAATTATTGTTAAAATTTCAAAATTATATAAAATTTCATTGATTTGTCTTACTTTAACAGCCGAAAATCAGAATAGAAATGGTAAAAGAATTTTCTTAAGATTTGAGTAAACATGCACATAAAACAAAAAGTTAATTGATGATTGTAAAATTAACTATGCAGTTTCTTAATGGTATTTTGGCGAATGGAAATAATATACATTAAATTCACTTTCAATGGTATTTTGCATTTTTGTCAATACTGATTTGTGCTATATAGCAAATTTGCAATGTGACTTCAGAAATTCTGAATTTAGTTCATTTCCTTAATGTTTTGTTTTGCTTCCAATTTGTGTATATTATATACATCAACTCTCATGTCTTTTCTTGACAGTCCACGAAGATCACCAGAAAACTTTATTGAATATAGAAGGCTTCCAAATTTATTTGTGTATTTATTGTGTTAGTTTAAAATTTTTGTGATTAGTAATAGTTAACTACATCATACTTTAAGAATATTTGTAAGAAATAAACAGATATGACTTGCTTTATAAATTATACTTTTATTAAATAATACTTTTGCTTTTTAAAACTCGTAAAATATTCTTTTATGGAAGTAAATGTAGTGGAACCAGTGTATGTATTCTCAAACTTTGACGAATCATAAATTAATTATTTGTGTATGTGATTACAGAACATTCTTTGTATTAATTTCGGCTTGACATTGTTTTGTCCAATCAATAATAATTTTCTCCGGTTTGTAACTTTGTTGTTATTTCAGGATTGTGTACTTACCAGTATTCTATCTTTTACAGCTTGTTAATATTGGATCAGGTGTGAGTGTTTTAGCTGTGTATGGCCCTAATAATTACAAGAGGGTTTCTGGAACTAGGTAAAGTTATATTATTTTAATAACTTTTCAGGATATGTTGTTATTTTTTAATGAAAATAATCATAGGCTTTTGTATATGGATTCTAGCCTTGGGGGAGGAACATTCTTGGGTCTTTGCAGTCTTTTGACTGGCTGTAATTCCTTTGATGAAGCAATAGAACTAGCTACAATTGGAGATAACACTAGAGTAGACAAACTAGTGAAAGATATTTATGGGGGAGACTATGAACGATTTTATTTGCCAGGAGATTTGGTAGCAAGCAGGTAAGATGTTTCTTTCGGATTAAAACTACCTTATAAACTGTTTTAGAATGTATTGAATACTTAAGAGACTGAAACATGTAATTGTGTTGCCTGAATATATTAAGATGTGTGAGGTTTTATATTGAAAATTTCATTAATACTTGGAAATTGTTTTTTGTTTATTTCAAGTGTTTTTTCCTTTGTAGCTTTGGACAAATGATAACTCGTGAGAGATGTATGCGTGCCAGACGTGAAGATTTAGCACGTGCTACACTTGTTACTATCACTAATAACATAGGGTCTATTGCTCGTATGTGTGCGCAGAATGAAAAAATTAACAATGTGAGTATGTGTCATTGCTTTTTGTCAGGGTTTTGTGAGTTGTATGGCAAGAGACATCAGCACTAAAAATTCTAACTAAAACATTATTATATGAACTTCGCTTTTAATCCATCAGATCTCTCACAGGACCTTTGAGATCAATCAATAAATTCATGTGTTCATCATTGTTGAAGGCTGACAAAGATCTTTTGTTCCTTGTAACTTCCCATGTTATCTCTAGTAATATTATTGTGTTATAAGTGATGTCGTATTCCTAATGGGTTTTAGAAATTAACGTTTTTATGTGCTGAGTCATGCAGACACACTGTGATATTATTGTCACAAAATGCGAGCTCAGATTCAGGAGAGTATTAACTATTACCATATCCTTATCATTATGATACTAATTTTATCACATTCCGAGTGAAATTTTAACCAACCGAAGAAATAGTTTTATTTTAATTTTTTTGGTATTCTATCCTTGAACGAGAAGCAAGTAGAATGTCAGCTCTCTTTGTAGCTGGAATTGAATGTGAAAATGATGTAGAGGAAAGGGAACACTGATACTGAGCAGTAGATAAGCGGCAAGGAAGAGGAAGAAAGTGAATGTAGGTATAATGTGTGATGCAGTTGTAGTCAAAATTCGAGATTTTATGTTATGATGAATGTGAATGGCTTTAATTCATTTGTAGTTTATAACAGCATCAATTGTTTACTATTTTATGTAGGTTTACTTGTATCAGTTCATGTACTAACTTTATAAACCCCAAAGTTTGGAGACTACTATTTCTCAAGAATCTGAGTTTTGATTTTGTCAGAGATCTCTTCAATTGTGCAGTACAAGCAACATTCCATTTGATATTAGTGACAAAATGTCAACATTTGGCTGGCATTGCAATTAAGAATTAAATTTCAGAGGTAGTAGTTAAAAGAATAGCAAGGGGCAGACTCAAATGATTTGAAACATCCTTCTGAGGAACTTTGCTATACGTATAGCGCCAATTCAGAAAAATCAGTCAAATCGTTGACGAGTGCATCCAAGAAAGTTCCAACTTCCTGGAAATGTGCTTTTGTTACTGAATTTTTAAGAAGGGAGATAGTAAAAATCCAAATTTACCAGCTAACCAGTCTTACAAGCCTAATAGAAAAACGTTCTAGAATGAGTTACAGCTGGAGAATCAGGGATTTGCTAAGTGAAATAAACTCATTTCTGAGCAACAGCACGGTTTGTCCTAGGACGATACACTGTATCACAACTTTTATGCTCTCTAAACATGTGCACAAGGATAATAGGGATAGATACAATGTACCTTGATTTTGCAAAACCATTTGGTAGCTGTACAAGTGTAGTAAGGTTCCTTGTGAGTGATTGCTTAGGAAACTGGAGCAAATCAGTTTAGTGGTCACCTTTATGTTATTTTAGGAGATAACGTAAAAACATAACTTTTCAGGAACTTTGACCTAATGGTGTGACACTTGGCTTTGACCACTAAATGGGATTAAGTGTAAGGCTCTGCATTTGGGGAGAATAATCCTATTCTACCTTACACTATCCGAAATAATTTTATTGTATCGCCAGAATTGCATATGGACCTTGGAGTGATTAGCAAATGAGATCTGAAGTAGGGAAGCCAAGTCTCAGCTTTGGACAAAACTAATGAATAATTCTAACAATTCAAATTATCTGATTAAGAAGGCATTTGCTGACCTGGACATGGAGACAGCTTGAAAAGTCTACGTACCGTTTATGAAACTAATGCTAGAAAATACCATTCTAGTCTGGTCCTCTTGTTACAAAAAAGGTATCAAACTTGTAGAAAAACGCCAGAGGATGTTGCCCAAAATTTTGAGAGGGCTATGGCTGTTCAAATATCAGGAGACATGATGTTGGTTTGTAAACAATACTAATGTGTAAATTGTACGTAGGATTTTATCAAAAATTTCTCTGGCTGATCTGGCTTAGCTTGAAACCCTGCAAATTTCAAGACATTTTTGTGGACACAAAAGCTTTAAATGATGTTATATAATGTTTCTTGAAATCTCAGAACTGCTGATTATCAATAAGTGTAAAGTTGCGCCAAACATTTTTAAAAAAATTTCTTGCGAAAAGAGATTGTGCTCATTTATGATATTTGGTATGTCTCATTTTTTATGTAACCACACAGATCTACAAAAAAATATATTTTTTCTGCAACAAGACCAGTACACATCATTTTTGAAAGTCAATTGACGTCTCAATCCAGATCTAATTTCAGAATATGTGTATTGGCCTCAGTTTTCATCATATGACCATTTTTATAAATGCGTGTCTCCATATGTATTATGTGTATCTGCCAAAATGACAGATCCAAATACATATAGTAAAAACTACAAGATAAGTTTGAAGAGAAGTGGTGAAACATATCTACAAATATTTTCTTCCCCAATTCTTGTGATGCTTTGCTTCAGGAACATCTCTTCGTAAGGACCAGCAATAGTCGTACATTTCATTACTCACCTTGCCTTGATAATGCTTTTCCATTCGTGAAATGTCTTGTGGAACCATTTGTCAAGTTCGTTACTAACGGCTCCAAAGCTATGCGGGAAGAAGTTCAAATGATCCTTTGAAAAAGCGATATGTCACATCTCTTATGGTGGTGTGATCTCAGTAGTTCATGTACAAAATTGCGATAGTCCTCTGCTGTAAGGTTTGCGTAAATAGTTTCTACAGACACTTGTGAGAGTCAGCCATGACTTTTTTTTAACATCACTCAACAAAATGTTTATCAGCCATTACTTTTCTAATTTACAGACCTACAAATATTCCTTTCTTTATTTTTGCTTCTCTGATCCTTGTAAACTTCTCTCGCTAATAATGAATCCACACGATTTTGACTATGATTTTCTTAAAAAAAATTGACGTGACTCAATTTGATGTGCAATGGTGACAGGAACACATTTTTGGAGTCAAGAAGGAGAGTGTGAACCACATTTCTCCCACATTCACACATGTCCTGGAAGTAGTTCAATCCCATCAGGCCATTTTTTTCTCTTTGCTGACTCACATAGAATGCAGTAGTGTACCCAATACTGCATGTCGAGCAGAATTGCTATTACCTTGAAATCTCCACATATATTCAATTTGTACTTTGATATGTTTGAGGAGCAGTTGAAAGTTTTAATATGTTTCCTTCAGGTTAACTGCATGAACAATTGAAACAGAAATTTGTTCACATTGTGCTTTCAGACTTATTTTGATAGAATCTACAAACAAGTAGCATTCAGTGACATGGAAATTATGGCCAATTCTCTCTAATGAATTTCATATCATTATGAAAAGCTATGTCACTTTTCTGTAAGAAATATTTTGAAAAATCAACTTGGCAATCATGAAAAACACTCACCTTCCTACAGGGGAAAAGAAAATTACATCCTTTTAGTCACAAAGCTAAAAGCTCAGACAGTTGTTACAATAAATTTAAATCACGAACAAGATTGTTGAGATCCCTTTGAGACAAAAAATGTGTTTCATTTGTCACAGGAAGCTTGAAATGTTCGGTCAGCATGATATCTCTCTCTGAATGTTCGTGACTGTAGCATTCATCTCCACTCACTGTCACAATCTCAGGAGGTAATGTTACTGGCAATTCTTTTCTGTGACTTGAAGACCTTATAGCGAATGGTAAATTAAAATATTGCACAGTTCTCTTTGTTTTAGAGGTGATGCCAGCTATTTTTGTCAGACCAAAATAACAATTTATTGTGTGATCAGTTACTTCTCTTAAAATCAAGGAGTAGCAAAAGGCATGTGTCATGAATCTTTTAACCAGCATATCAGGAGTGTAATAGGGATGCCACATTAATATCGATGTTTTCAAAACATCGATTTATTAACACAGATGTTTTTTCTTTACCAATGTTTTGTGTCTGAATAAAAATTTCATATGATCATAGTACTGTTAAAGTTGAAATATCGAATAATAACTGATAGTAACACTTATTCATGTACTGGAACCAAAGGAATGCTGTTTGCTCTTCATCGACCAAACTCTCTCGCCTGAGATGACCTCCATGCCTTTGTATTTCCTCTTTCTTCATATTCATTTCGCACATTGAGAAGTAGCCAACAAATGCACTGTGGCTGTAGGGTCTGCCCCTTCTTCTCGTATCCTTTTTCAGTGAATTGATAAACACAAATACTGTCAAATTAAATTTTAATGCACATGAATTTAATGTTTAATGTACCAATCCAGTCTAAAGTTTTGAGTCAGTGTATTTTGAACATTAATGTTTTGTTATCGATGTTACATCACTAGAGTGTAACACATGACACCCAGCACGTTTGGGGGACCCATTTCTTGTCCTGGTCATCTACCTTACACCCAAAATAAGTTCATAACACTTCCTTCTCAGAGGATTAAGATTCCATTTTTGTGTCTTCAGAGTCCTTTTTCCACAGATATAAGAAAACGAATTTGAACTATTTACACAGTTACAAGGCATTTCTTCTTCTCAATATAAAGCACAAACCTTCACAAACCTAGAACAACAAGCAGTCACATCCAAGCCACTTTCCATGTTGTCAGATCAACTCAATGTGACAACTCAAACATGTTGACAGATCTCAATGCTGGGACGCAACTGGCAAAAAAGACAATGAAATTGTGTGAAGAACTCCATTACCATTCTTTTTTACAAAAATGCTGTTGACCAGTGCTATTAAGGATTTGAAAAATGAAAAAAGTGTGGAGAAATGTTTTTTGATCTAACAAATTTTACAAAATATTAATATTATGCTAATGAAAATTAAATTGCTGTGTTGCTTTACATTTCTTTAAATTTTGAGTTATTGCAAGCTTAATCCTTTGCAAGGAATGCCTTAAATGACATCATTAAATGCTCTCTCAGCTCTTCTGCCTGTGTGTGGTGTATTGTTCTTCAGGTTGGAGGGTGTATCTGGGTGGGATAGAAACATAAGTTGACTGAAAGGATTTACATGCCTCACACTTCTGTCAGCCAGCCATTATTACAGGCTAAGGTGCAGAGTTTAGTATGCTGGCATTTTTTTATAACAGTATTGAACTTGTTCATAATTTTTGTATATAACTTTACAATTAACTAGATATTGAAACCATGTGTTCTAAAAGAGAACCTTTTGAACTTAACATTGTTTTGATTTGAAATTAACATTGATTTGAAATTAACATTGTTTAGTAGTTAAATTTATCAACTGTATAATCTAAAACTAAGCACTTCAATACAATGCAAAAAAGAATTATTCTATTTTTAACGCAAGTATTAATACATTCAGAAATCATTTTTTCGTTCTAAACCTTCATGAAATTTTAACAGGTGTTAAACAGATCACAACTTTTAATTGGTGGAGGGCCGGATTGCCAAGACAAGTTTGACTATAATAATTTGTAGCTTTCATCTTCTGTTTTCTGTTCCTGCAGATAGCGACCATATTTATTTTAAAAGATCATCTGTTGTACAGTTCAGGTTGCTGTCTCATTATTGATGGAGATCTTAGAGATGTAGAAATAATGAAAAGCTGCTGGCATCTCTCAGATGCCAAGTGGGTAATGGAGTGGGTGGTGTCATGTCAAAGATGCCCTCCAACTTGTATGCCAGCCTCCTGTCAGAAATCTCTAAACCATGTCATCTTACAGATCCCTTCCAACATGTGGGTGTTTATGTTTCCAATTGCTTTTGAATGCAAAGGGATTAGAGGCCTTTCGGCACTGTTCCCTAGTAACAAATTTTATGGTTCTTTGTATAGAGGTACATAGTATATGTTGAGTACGGTCCAGGTGGATTTCTAAGAAAATTGGAAAATACTTTCTTTCTTTTTCCAAATGGGAAAAGCACTTTTAGAAGATATAGAAGCTTTTATGTTGTGTGTGTGAAATGCTCTGAGGTATTGAGGTCATGCCAAGCTGAAGAAATCAGTATTTGTCCTTATAGTATCTCCTGGTTTGGCTTATTGTACATGCTCCTTACCTACTTCATGTATTTCTTCAGTGGAATACTCTCTCTTTTGTACAAACCCTCCTCTACTATGACAGCATGTGATAACACTAGTGTTGATAAACAGATAGTTGCCTTTATTTTTAGCAATAAGGTCAATTTTATTAATGTAGGAGGAGGAAATGACTTTTCAACATTTGGTGGAGCGAATTTTGCAAGAGATTACTTAGAAATTTTACAAGAAAATCTTATGCTGTAGCCCCTTTAGTTTCTATGTGTATATGTTAAAAAATATTTGGAACAATAATTTGTATTTCAATTTTCAGTTGGTGTTTGTGGGTAATTTTCTGAGAGTGAATCCAATTGCAATGAAACTTTTGGCACGTGCAATGGACTATTGGTCTCATGGTACGATTCAACCAGTGTTTCTTGAACATGAAGTGAGTACATATCTTTTTAATTTAAGAAAGTTGTGTTATATTTTATATGACCACAGCAGTAATAGTAATTCAGTGTTCTGTTGAGCATTTGTTCTTGAGTTTTGATGGTCTTTAAATTTTCACAATGGTTTTTGTGTTTGAAGGGATACTTTGGTGCTGTGGGCTGCCTCTTGGAAATTGATGACAGCTGAATACAGTTTGAGAGGAAAATCTGTTACGAGCATTCCTGTGATGGCACATCATCAATGTCATTGAGATTCCCTGTGATATGCCATTTTTGACCTTCCAGTGTGCAAGAAATGAATGTGCAGGATCAAAGATAAGATTGGGAGAAGGGAATGCAATTGCCTCTTACCTATTCCCATAAAGTGAACATATTGTTTTAAGTTTACGAATATTCAGTATTTTCATTGTATTGAATATGTGCAATTGATCTTCACTCAGCTTTGTGGAATTGTTTAATTGTTAGCACAACATGTGTACCTAATATTTATTGAAGACATAGGAGCAAGCATTAGAATATTGTGAGAACTGAACGTCCAAATGTGAAGTTATTAATGGTGCAGCAGAGAATAGTATAAGCTTAGCCTTTTGAGTTCCTTTCTTTTGTTAGTGTACTAATAAACAGATCATGATTATGAGGGGATTTTAGGAGTTTGTAGATTGTCATCATGAGAATTCTAGCATATATTTTTTAGGAAATAATTTAAATATTTTTGTAAGCTTGCAAATGTACTTTGCTTTAGATACACCCTTTTTTTCATGACATTTCAGTATAGTCATGTAATAATGCACAATAATGCATCATAATGGCTTGTGTTATTATTGTTTAATTATAATGGTGTTTCAGTATTTAGTTCTTTAGAGCTTAGTTTATATGCATGTGCATGCTTATTTAAATTGCAAAAGTTTTTTCTATTTTAAACATTTTAGTTCACATTTTTGACTCTTTGATTCGTTGTCACAAGATAAATCAATGAACAATGACAATGAGTTACTTTTAAAGTGTAATGTCCAATAAGATCAGGATTGGTGTGGACTTCTTAATGTGCTTTTTGTTGAAATTGTTTTGTACACTATATTTATATTCATATGAATTATTGTATTGTTAGCTCTAGGACCTGTGGTTTTGTACACATACATTCTATAATATATTGTATACAATTGCCAATTATTATATTGTAATCGAGTAATCAGTTTTTGTAGCTTTTTATAAACGGTAGTGGTGTGGTGTGATATGTGAATTTAGATATTCATATTATTTGAATATTAGATTTTGACATTGCTGAACCAATAGACAGGTGTCTCATTTCAGAACATGCCTTACTTGTGAGCTACAATTTTACACATGTAGCTTTAGTTATCTGTATGTCATATGCACATAAATTGTGCCATTGGTTTGCTTGGTTAAGTATGAATGGATGTGTTTTTAAATTATCCTCTCAAAATGTGTAAAAAGGTTGCAATAGGAATCGAGATAAAAGTGTCACATAAGATTTAGTATAATCCTCCTTGGTCCATCCATCACAAGCAAGTTAATAAGATTTTCAGTTTGTTCTTTGTATCTGGTTGAAAGTGAATTTTAAGGTGTATGCCTACAAAATCTCATTACTTTCTTTTCGTGTTAATGGATTGAAAGTACAGTTTACATCACACATGTTCAGCAGCTCAGCTCTCTTCTTCTAAACTTCATTTAGATGTCTTTATTTCCTGGATGGGCTATTCCATTTTGCCTATTTCAAGTTTTGTTAATACAAGACCATGACTAGTGTTTTTAATGTTATTTGAGACTCATGACAAAGCATTTCGAGGAAATGTGAAGTACATCTAGAACAGTTTTCTTATGTGTAATTGTACACTTAATATTGCACACATGCACACACTTATGAATGAGAGTTAATGCTGAAATTGCTCTTAATACAAGTAGTTGTGGATAGGCATCGGCTAATGTTAATTTTTATTTATTCATATCATTGCATCTGTGACATGGTCTTAAATGTTTCCATGTTGAATTGTATGATTGTTTGTTGATTGAGCATAAAATATGTTTATGAAATGTTAAGTTTATTGTCTCTAAAATACATGTATATACTGTTATGATAGTTATAGATGAAAATTTAATGTGAATGTGGGTGAAAGGTGTGGAATTTTGTTTCTTGGTACTAGGCAATCTATTTAATGATATATTTCAAACTATTTTACATTTTGGCTTAAGGTGACCAAATATTGTTGTATGTTTAGTACAATTAAATTATATGTTGAAAAACTATTTGATTTTTTTCACCCCTCCAATGAACAGTCTGTAAAGTAATAAAACAAAACATGACTTACTACATTTACTTCTTTAGTCAGCCACAGCCAGTAGAAAAAGTTGTTATTTTTAGAGCATATAGAGCTGATTGTTCAACTTTTAGAACTAGTGCTAAAAGTGATGCGATTGTCAAATATTCGAGAAATCAGTGCGTTTGCAAGAAAGAAAACAAAATACTTCACCATTAATTTTTTAGTGTCCAGCATATTTAAAACATTGTTTCTTGATATACTACTACAATTAAGTAATAAATGTATTGTGAGGATTTTTAATTTTCTTTTTGTATTTCTTTAATTTGTTAAAATATTAGCTAGTCAAGGAATGTATTTTGAATCCTTACAGATAACATCCTCAAAATGACAAGGTTCTATCTGTCTTTGAGAAAATTTTACTATTGTTTTAAAAGTTAAGAGGTATGTAATAAATAATGATATTCCAAATGCTATGTCATTTTGCTTATTGAAAGTTTTGATGCTGAAACTCGGCTGACCATAGCAATCCCTTTTTGAAGCACCTGCCTTGTATGCCAAAATGTCCCTTATTTGTTGTAATGCCTTATGAGCACAACATGCCAATAACAATAGTACATTATACTCCATCTTTGTATCAGTTTGATAAAAAATTTAAAGTTCACTGTCAATTTTTTTTATAGAGCAAAGATTGTTCACAAATTTTTTTTTGTTTACCTTGAACTAACTCTTACTGAACAAGAGTTTTCTTACAAGAGTAGTCTGTGACAAGCACTCTCCCTCAGTTAAAACATTGAAAGCTATGTTGATTACTAACATGAAGATCACACTAGTGTAAACTTTTACAAAGTGCTGAGTGATAAAAAGGATTGATTTATGTTTTACAATTTATTTATTAGAATCCTGTTTGGCTCTTTTTTTAATGAGATATATGAAAATACCAGTACATACAGGTATTTTATTATATTTCTACATGGTCCTTATGCTTCCAGTTAGTCTCTATAAATATTATTCAACTGTGACCACAAATGGCAAAGTAATAAAGGGAAAGCCTCTTATAGATGCCATATGGTGTTAGGTATTTTTCAGACATATATGCTTTATAAAGTAGAACATTGATATTCTAGATTAATTGGAAATGGAGTATGAATTTGTCTGCATATTTTATATGAACCAATAAATGGCTGGTAACTGACTTCAACATAAAAGAACTTGCTCTTATTGTCGATAATTCACTCTGATGATTACTGAAGTAGTACAGATGAATTAAGGAGTAAAATTTGTAAATTTTTAATTTACAAAAAAGATTGTACAGTCTGTACAATGTTGCATGTGCAGTGTACCTTATGTATTGCTAATTTTTGTTTTTTGAAATCAATACTTTAATAAATTTATTAAGGTATGTAGACCTTTTAAACATATAACACTCATTTCAGATGATTTTTTTTTTCACTAGACTTGAATTTGGATTGTTAAGTCTTTATTTTTGACATCAAATTAATGTTCTCCTATTACTTAATTTCAGTCTGAAGTGCAATAGGACAATCTACTTCTGTGGTCTGTCAATAGTAACGCATTGCTTCCTTGAACCCCATGGGCACTGTGAGAGTCCTGTTGAGCTGCCCTTAGATCCATCATCTAAGTGCATGTGGTGAGGTTTGGCAATAGAATTATAATCATTATCATGAACTGCAGAATGAAAAGCCAGGGGGTACTGTTCCTGGCTAAGCAGAAGACCTCAAATACTTGTCTTCCAGGTGTTCCTGCAACATCCACTTCTTTATTGATCTTCCTATATCTCTAGCATATGGTTTAGGACAGCCTTTGGGAATCTTTCTTCTTTCATTCTTTTAATATGTTCCCGCCATTTTTTGGTTCTTTCTCTGTTATGGTTGTCGTCTTCAATCTATTCCTTATGTCTTATGTTGATTCAGTCTAGTGTAGCCAAGGAAGTGTCTTAGGAACCTCATTTGGGCAGCATCCAGTCTTTGGTTGTCTCTCTGTTTTAGAATCCAGCATTGGTGTGGCTGTCATGTTGTGTATTCTTAATTTGGTTTCTTGTGTCATGTCCTTCCCAAAGTGTCTTTTAATTATTCCACTTATTCTATTATATTTCAAAATTTTATGTTGAAGGTCCTCAGAGTAACATATATTGATTTTACATTTTTCCCCAGTCTTCTCTTTTCATTCTTTCCTTGTTTTTGTTCTCCACTTTTTATGTTATGTAGTCCTCTTGTTTCTGTGTCTGAATGTATTTCTTATAGACTTTCTTTTTGCTTACAATGATTTCTTATATTTCTTCATTCCAGGATCTTATCCACTTCTCCTTTTTTGGTCGGGTAACTCTCTTTCCTTAGCTGCTTCCATTATTGCTCGTCTTGAAGTTGTCAAGAATATTTCCAAGTTTTGTTTGTTTAAGTTTTGCAGTTTATCCTTAAGTTTTTTTTCCATATAAATATCTAACACTTCCTTCTTCTAATAGATGTACCTTTAATTTGGGTCTCACTAAAGTTTTCTTCTCTTACTCCTTGCAGTGTTGGGTGTTGATTTTCTTTTTGCTTTTGAAGACATAATAATCAGTGTCTAATTCACTTCCTCTGATAACGTGGTGTCTTATTTTACTGAGTAAGTCTTCACACACAATGACATATGTCTATAATTGATTTTGTTCCTCTTTCTTTCCATTTTAAATTTGCGTTTACCTTTGTGCTGGAAAAGGGAGTTAGTAAATTTTAAATTATTAAATGTAGAGAAATCAATTAGCCTTTTCCTCATTGTTATTGATGACTTCTTCTCACTTCTAGAATTCTCAATATATATTAACATCAACTAAAGTAAATTAGTTACCATGGTTTCTACATTTGGAAATATTAAATTAATTGATATTAATTTGTGTATTATTCAGATATTCTTTCATTTATTTCTTTTGACCTTAAATTTTTGACAGATATTAATATAAAAACTGTAAATATTCACATCCCATACATAATGTTTTATATTTTTAAAACTTTATTTCTCCTAGTTTGAAATTTTGATAAAGTTGTGAATACAATCACATTTATATAAATGATGCAACATTTTGGGCACTGATTCTGCCTATCTTCAGGCTGTAATAATAATAATAAAATTTCATTACAACACAATCAATTTTTATTATTTACTTCTTATTTTTGAATCATTCACCGTAACACTCGATACAAACCTCTAGAAACTCTCCAAATGTCAATATTTAAACATAAATATGGTCACCCATTAATATTGTTTTGAGATCAGGTAAAAAAGGATTAGGATTCAGAGATATAATAAAATAAAATTGGTTCACGAGATTGGTCATTATGGGTAGACACAATTAGTTGTGCCAACGTTTTGAAATATTCAGTTTCTTCATCAGGGCTTACTAATGATCATAAAGATAATGTCTCATTTCAATGATTACAATTATCAGTAAGCCCCGAAGAAGAAATTTGAAATTTCGATGATTCGAATTTTGATACATTGGTACAACTAATTACTTGTTTACCAACAATGACCAATCCTGTGAACCAATTTTATTTTATTATTCATCAATGATCGTGGTTCTACAATTGGTTTATAGATATGCTTTTCCTATTTTTTAATCTGTTGTACACCTCGACATCAAATTTCCTAATCCTAAATTTGGTAATAATTAGCATGTTCCTTCCTGGCTGAGTTTATTTTTTTCTGTTTCCAAACAGAAGTTCAATAATTTTATTTGTTCATTCAAAAAGGAAAGCAAACTGGGGGATTGTTCTCGAGTGTTTCTAGGAAATTAAGTTTTAGGAAGTGAAGCAAATAAAATGAAACAAATTTTAACAAATTAAATATATTACAAGTAGATTCTACAATGGCAATTAATTATATGACATGAAAAAGTACACTTTATAAATAATGGAAACAAACTATCAAAAATATTATTCTTGTTTAGGTTGTTTTTCTATTCGCTGCTGCTCTTCAAATATTTCTATAAGTTTCTCAGTAGCAGATTTTTCAATATAAATAGGTTGTGACAAGTCTTCCTGTAAAGAGAAAGAATCTTAGAAATAAGCCTACCATAGAATTAATTAATACAAAATAATATATCAATTGTCTCACATTTGGAAATTCTGCCCAATTCAGTTTGGGGTCACGATTTACAAATGGACTCCATGGTCCTTGGATAGAAGGATGATCTGTATGCCACATTTTTAAAAGCCGCACAGTGCCTCTTCCAGTCTGTGACCGCAGCAATGAAACCCATTTTTTAACTTCTTCGTAAGAAAAATTCCGGCAATCGACAATTTGCTTTTCTCCATTCACTGCCATAACAACAAATACATTAAAAAGTTACATTCTTAACAATATTACCTTTATGTGAGCCAACTTACAATACTCTGCAGTTAAATTTGGTGCTCTGTGGCGGCGGGGTTTCACATATACTACAATGCCTGGATTTTTTTTGGTGAAGTCTAGTAGCTCGAATTCGAGAAATTCCCTGGTATAAACAATACAATTAGTATTAGTGTCTCTTTAAGCCTTCATTAATATTAGAAGCGCAAATCCTGGAGAATGATCTACCTCATTCCTCGGCTGGAAGGATAATTCTTGCAAAACTTGAAAGTTAACCTTTGTAACTGGCATATCCATCTTCCAACACCATTCGCTAAAGGCGCTCTGGGAAACCCCACCGGCAGAAATAAATTGTTATTAGACATTTTATATATATTTTCGGGAGTTTCTTTCAAAACATAACTTCCAAGGTTTCCTTTTCATAAACATATACCACACGGGACTACAAAGATAATGCAGCATATGGATACAGACCCAGAGAACAAGGGTTTTAAATCCAGAGAGTATTAAAGCCGACAAACTATACTCCGTTCAAAGAGTGCTATACTCCGTTTTAAATATATGAGGAATTGGCTTTTGAACAGCTGGGCCGCGGGAGCTTCAATACATAAAATTTAAGCTGCAACGAAGCTGCTCTCAATTTGTTGTACATGTGTAAAATGTACGATTTACACGTGTGATCCATCGGCTCCGATGACTTATAAAAATACACAATTTACACAATATACAAATATACCGTTTATATACACAGATACAACGCGAGATTTGGCCCTCGCCGTGGCATTCCCACAAGGACACAAGGACCCCCCACCCAGGTGGAGGTGGTTCATCCCTTGCTGGGGGAGAATTTGATTTCAAGGGAGTCAATTCGAGAATAAATTAATAACTGAAATTTGCATGATATGCATATTTACACCGTAAATGTGGCTCAGGGCTTCACTGCAGAGCCTCTGACCAGGAGATCCTGAGGTACGAAAAAAATTAAAAGAAAAAGTTTTTGTCTATAGAGGAATGTGGGTAGTGGGACAGGGGCTAAGAAATCGTTCAAACATAATATTATTCTATGTTATAGTTATAGTGTAACTACTCATATGACATTTGGTTTATAGAGACTTATCTCATCCAGGGGTACTCTTTAAGTTAAAAGTAAACTCTTTTCTGCTGCATAACTGTTTCTATACAATTAGAGAGTATACTGACCATAAAAAATGATTGATATATAATACATTAATTTACATTTGTATTGTATAATTAAAAAACACTTAATATGTCTGTAACAAGTAATGTATTTCAGTCTCCGGGTCAATGACCCCCATCTCGATAAAATTGTTATCCACAAATTTCCACCCATGGTTGTCCAGTTTCCCTGAAGCTCTGAGCGTTTGAACGGTCCGTCAGAGAGGAATATGCGGCCTCTTGTTTTTCTTCTGGACGAAACTGTATCTTCATTATGCACACGCTTTTTTGAGTTCTCCTTTTGGTAATTGGGGTAGGTGTAGAGCAGTGAGTACCAGTTTCTATTTTATTACCAATAAAAAAAATGCATATTGTTTTTCAATGCAAATCATTTTTCCGCATTCCGAAATCTGTCTATTTTCCGCTGCGAAAGTGTCTAATTTTCAAATGTTGCCAACCTCGCTTTCTTTGAATCTTTCTTTTCACGATTCTATTATTTATAATTGAAATGTTGAGAAGCGATTCTGAAATCTCCAGAAACCGTGCACAGATGGTACTCCCCCTAATGACACACATAGTTTTAAACTTTTACTGTTTTTGATTTTCTTTTCACTAAATAAATCAAAGTTCAGCTTGGGAGAGAGCTGCCAGGACGAAACCCTTTTGTAAGCACGATGTGCATAGAAAAAACTTACATTTCTTTTGTTTCTATTCTACCAATGGCAATATCGCCTTATGGTGTGAACATTTCTTTAAGGTGGCAGATTTTTATCACGAAATTGTACGAAGTGGGAGGTAGTCAAAATGACAACTTTTAGTAATTGATTTGTTGAATTATCATTTCTTTTAATTCAATTGAATAAATTAGCATTTTTTAGTAACATCTATATAATTGTATTAAATATTAAGTAGTTAGTCCATTTTTGTTTCTGTTGTTTATTCAATTTAAAAAAATAAGGGGCTTTAATTAATTGTTTGCCATGGACCTTGAGGTCCAACCCTGGTCATGCTTTATGCTTGAGTATGCCAAGAATTACTGATTTGGTAGGAGATCATCGGAGACCAGCTGGGTGACCCTATTACAGGTTTTCTATCATCAAATACTGTTCCATGTGTCTGTACAATTTTTTATTTTAAAACATACCTTCATTTAACTATGTTAATTAGGATTATAGAATTTTTCAACAAAATTTTATTTGAAAATACAAAACAATTTTAATTTGAATAAAAGTTAAAAAATTCTTTAGTGGTTATTATACTGCTAAATGAAAGACTTTAAGTCTCATATTTCCCAAACATTTTAGAATGCAATTTGTTTCTTTAATGTTTGTTAGTTCCTTTGAATACATTTTTAGAAAAGTTACTGTTGTATTAACATGAAAATTCTAGATACATTCTGTTGTAAGTGTGGATATCTAATGATAATAATACTATTATAATGGTCTTTAATTATTATGAAAATGCATTTTTTTAAAATCTTAATAGAAAGTACATTTTTATTGTTTAAAAAAAAAGTACCTAAGATGTAAAAGTTAGTGATGTAAAAACAATAATTTCTGCAAAATAAATTGATGTACTTATGTAAAGATAAAATTTTTAAAAATCGACAGTGAAACATGACTGATACACAAGTGAAAAGCAATTTTTAATTTTTGCCCCCATCTGTGAAACAAACTTAGGGTTGCAGCATAGAAAGGTAGCGTGCTAATCATGAGGCACTGATGAGGGGACACTAAAAATAATTTTGCAGAATATTTAAACTCATACCAAGATCTAAAAAATTCTTAATTTTTTGCTGTGCAATTATCAGGAATGCAATTGAAATGAAATAACAAAGGAAGAGAAAGGAAAAAATTCCATACACGAAATGGTGGGTCTAAAAAACGATTTTTTATGATTTTCAGTTTATTGAATTGATATAAAGAAAGTAATAATGAAAAGGATACAAATATGATTGATTTGAAAAAACTGAATATATCAACATGTTTTTCTTAGTGTTTTTATTGGATACATTCATTTTTACAATTCCATACAAAAATACTGTATCAAACACACTCAGTCAGACGTGAAATTTTATTTTGGCTAATGGTCGGGAAGCTTCATCATTTTGCCAACTGCACTCCAAATATCATCAGATAGAAGACTTGGTTCTTCGAAAGCAGGAAAGTGTCCTCCTCGTTGAATGTTAGAGACTTGAACAAGGTTAGGGAATTTATCTCTCAATAAGAATGCGGGTTGGTACTGAATTCTCAGTGTATTAGGAAAGATAGCACAAGCTGTTGGTACTAAACACTGGACCCTGAAAAGACAAGTTCATATTTTAGCATTCCTAACCTACATTCCATGATAAGTGTTTCACAATTTCTGTTTTCAAAAGTGATAAAGTTTTTCTTAGATGTATAATTTAATTGTCCCACTTGGAAGATAGTAAAACCAACCTGTCCAAATCCATAGAGAGTTGTGCTCTGCTGAATGTTTCACTGTAGAGTCTCATTGAAGACGTCATTGTATCTGTTACCCAGTAAATCATAACATTATCTAGCAGATTGGTAAGAGTATACTTCTGGGTAAGACCACCATCAGGTAAAAAACGCCAGTCAGGATTAGTCCAAGTTGAAAATTTTTCTAAAATATATGCTGCAAGACCAGCTGGAGAATCACTCAATGCAGTTCCTGAAATTGAAAATACCAACTTCAATTAATGATCGTATGCAAAAATTACGGAAATGTTTCTATTGAAAAAACATCCAGATAGAATGTGTCCAACTCACCAATAGTGTCTGGTTTTGTAGCCTGAAGATGCATATATCCAGTTTCCTCAAGAATAAACGGCAATCTTTCTCCAAAACTTCTTAAATGAGGAATCTCATTTTCATTGTAAAATAAAGATGGCCATAAATGACTAATCATTTCCTTAAGAATTGTAAGTGCTGAGTTTGAGAAGCACATGTTAGAATGGATACCCAGGACACTGCAATTGAAACAGAGAAGTAAAAACTTCTATCTCTTAGTAAAAACTTCTGTACGCAGATTAACATAAAACATTTACTATACAATTCTCAAACATTGATTAGAAATGTTTATACTAAATTTAATTTTATTAATTTCTCTACTTTTTTATTAGAAGCATTTGCTTCTTCCTCCTCATTTTATATGTATATACATAAATTCAATATTTTATTATCTTGTGAATTTGTTTAATTGTTTTCCTAGTTGACAAACACTTTCTTATGACATTTCATTACTGTCTAGCAAATATTTTAATCGTAGGAAAAACGTTTTGAACATCTAATTTTTTGCATTGTAAGCTACTTTAAGTGAAAACTAAAAGTTAAACAAAAAATTAACAGAGAAAAATACTGACTTGTCTGGAAATAATACTCCCATATGAGATGCAATAATAGCTCCCCAGTCTCCTCCTTGAATGTAAAACTTCTTGAAGCCCAGTCTATCCATTAAAGATTTCATTACTACAGCAATTTGAGCTGCCCCAAGTCCTTGCTTAGATGCACCATCAGAGAATCCATGTCCCGGAAGTGATGGTATGACCACTTCAAACACAAAATTTTCTTGAACCCGTGGAGTAGTTAAAAGAGGAACAATTTCATAGAAGTCTCGAACAGAGCTTGGCCAACCATGCATCATTAATAAGGGAACAACTTTGACACCTTCAGGAACTTTGGAGGGTTTCACACGAATAAAGTGAATATCGAGACCAGAAACTTGTGTTCTAAAATGAGGCAGTTTGTTGAGGAAAGCTTCACGCTCCTTCCATTTGTACTCTTTAAGCCAAAACTGCACAACCTTTTGTAGATAGTCTGTATTAAAGCCATATCGGAAATTGGCACCTTCTAAAGGTGGAGTGAAAGGTGGAAGACGTTCCAGTCGGTCATGCAGATCTTCAATTATCTGTACAAAGAAGAAAAAATGAAATTGAATATTTCATATTCAAGCCTTGTAATGCGATTGTTTAATGATTTATATTAAACCTATGTTCTTACATCACTTGAAATATTAATTTTGAAAGAGATAATTGCAGGATTGTCTGGCTTGGCTTCATTAGGCCCCCAATACTGTACTGGAAGTGTTGGAGGGGCTGTGGGCAGTGACAGAAAATGCCAGCCCACTCCAATGGCAACTGCAAAGATTAAGGTTAGTACTGCTCCTGAGACAGCGAGATTTTTTAAAAGTCCCATTTTTTTCTGTAAAGAAGTAACAATCATTAGAAACAAAGTTTGCGGATCGAGCTGACTGCACACAATGTAGAATTAATTGCATTAGACTGCCGAATATTTTTGGTGTTCATATCCTTTCATCATTCTCTCTGGTATGTGAGTTTCTGACATTTAACTTGCCAGTAACCAGTTTACGTCACACAAAAAACCTAGAAATTTTGGAAACTTTGCTGGTGACGCGTTAATTGAAGAGTGACGAGTGTCAGTGACCGATGGGAAAAAAGCTGGGAAGGCAATTGATC